ATCACAGTCTCAGCATCACCACATCACATCAACATCACAGTCTCAGCATCACCACATCACATCAACATCACAGTCTCAGCATCACCACATCACATCAACATCACAGTCTCAGCATCACCACATCACATCAACATCACAGTCTCAGCATCACCACATCACCTCAACATCACAGTCTCAGCATCACCACATCACATCAACATCACAGTCTCAGCATCACCACATCACCTCAACATCAGTCTCAGCATCACCACATCACATCAACATCACAGTCTCAGCATCACCACATCACATCAACATCACAGTCTCAGCATCACCACATCACATCAACATCACAGTCTCAGCATCACCACATCACATCAACATCACAGTCTCAGCATCACCACATCACCTCAACATCACAGTCTCAGCAACACCACATCACATCAACATCACAGTCTCAGCATCACCACATCACATCAACATCACAGTCTCAGCATCACCACATCACCTCAACATCACAGTCTCAGCATCACCACATCACATCAACATCTCAGTCTCAGCATCACCACATCACATCAACATCACAGTCTCAGCATCACCACATCACATCAACATCACAGTCTCAGCATCACCACATCACCTCAACATCACAGTCTCAGCATCACCACATCATCACAACATCACAGTCTCAGCATCACCACATCACATCAACATCAGTCTCAGCATCACCACATCACCTCAACATCACAGTCTCAGCATCACCACATCAACATCAGTCTCAGCATCACCACATCACATCAACATCACAGTCTCAGCATCACCACATCACATCAACATCACAGTGTCAGCATCACCACATCACCTCAACATCACAGTCTCAGCATCACCACATCACATCAACATCACAGTCTCAGCATCACCACATCACCTCAACATCAGCCTCAGCATCACCACATCACCTGAACATCAGTCTCAGCATCACCACATCACATCAACACCACAGTCTTAATATCACCACATCACATCCACATCACAGTCTCAGCATCACCACATCACATCAACATCACAGTCTCAGCATCACCACATCACCTCAACATCACAGTCTCAGCATCACCACATCACATCAACATCACAGTCTCAGCATCACCACATCACATCAACATCAGTCTCAGCATCACCACATCACATCAACATCACAGTCTCAGCATCACCACATCACATCAACATCACAGTCTCAGCATCACCACATCACATCAACATCACAGTCTCAGCATCACCACATCACCTCAACATCACAGTCTCAGCATCACCACATCACATCAACATCACAGTCTCAGCATCACCACATCACCTCAACATCACAGTCTCAGCATCACCACATCACATCAACATCACAGTCTCAGCATCACCACATCACATCAACATCACAGTCTCAGCAGCACCACATCACCTCAACATCACAGTCTCAGCATCACCACATCACATCAACATCACAGTCTCAGCATCACCACATCACCTCAACATCAGTCTCAGCATCACCACATCACATCAACATCACAGTCTCAGCATCACCACATCACATCAACATCACAGTCTCAGCATCACCACATCACATCAACACCACAGTCTTAATATCACCACATCACATCCACATCACAGTCCCATCATCACCACATCACCTCAACCTTAGTCTCAGCTTCACCACATCACCTCAACATCACAGTCTCAGCATCACCACATCATCACAACATCACAGTCTCAGCATCACCACATCACATCAACATCACAGTCTCAGCATCACCACATCACCTCAACATCAGTCTCAGCATCACCACATCACCTTCATATCAGTCTCAGCATCACCACATCACATCAACACCACAGTCTCAGTATCACCACATCAAATCCACATCACAGTCTCATCAACACCACATCACCTCAACATTAGTCTCAGCATCACCACATCACATCAACATCACAGTCTCAGCATCACCACATCACATCAACATCACAGTCTCAGCATCACCACATCACATCAACATCTCAGTCTCAGCATCACCACATCACATCAACATCACAGTTTCAGCATCACCATATCCCATCAACATCACAGTCTCAGCATTACCACATCACCTCAACATCACAGTCTCAGCATCACCACATCATCACAACATCACAGTCTCAGCATCACCACATCACATCAACATCACAGTCTCAGCATCACCACATCACATCCACATCACAGTCTCAGCATCACCACATCACATCAACACCACAGTCTCAGCATCACCACATCACATCAACATCACAGTCTCAGCATCACCACATCACCTCAACATCACAGTCTCAGCATCACCACATCACATCAACATCACAGTCTCAGCATCACCACATCACATCAACACCACAGTCTCAGCTTCGCCACATCACCTTAACATCAGTCTCAGCATCACCACATCACATCAACATCACAGTCTCAGCATCACCACATCACCTCAACATCAGTCTCAGCATCACCACATCACATCAACATCACAGTCTTAATATCACCACATCACATCCACATCACAGTCTCAGCATCACCACATCACATCCACATCACAGTCTCAGCATCACCACATCACATCAACATCACAGTCTCAGCATCACCACATCACCTCAACATCACAGTCTCAGCATCACCACATCATCACAACATCACAGTCTCAGCATCACCACATCACTTCCAAATCAGTCTCAGCATCACCACATCACCTCAACATCAGTCTCAGCATCACCACATCACCTCAACATCAGTCTCAGCATCACCACATCACCTCAACATCACAGTCTCAGCATCACCACATCACCTCAACATCACAGTCTCAGCATCACCACATCACCTCAACATCACAGTCTCAGCATCACCACATCACCTCAACATCACAGTCTCAGCATCACCACATCACATCAACATCACAGTCTCAGCATCACCACATCACATCAACATCACAGTCTCAGCATCACCACATCACATCAACATCAGTCTCAGCATCACCACATCACATCAACACCACAGTCTCAGCATCACCACATCACATCAACATCAGTCTCAGCATCACCACATCACATCAACACCACAGTCTCAGCATCACCACATCACATCAACATCACAGTCTCAGCATCACCACATCATCACAACATCACAGTCTCAGCATCACCACATCACCTCAACATCAGTCTCAGCATCACCACATCACATCAACATCACAGTCTCAGCATCACCACATCACCTCAACATCAGTCTCAGCATCACCACATCACCTTCATATCAGTCTCAGCATCACCACATCACATCAACACCACAGTCTCAGTATCACCACAACACCTCAACATCAGTCTCAGCATCACCACATCACATCAACATCACAGTCTCAGCATCACCACATCACATCAACATCACAGTCTCAGCATCACCACATCACATCAACATCACAGTCTCTGCATCATCACAACACATCAACATCACAGTCTCAGCATCACCACATCACATCAACATCAGTCTTAGCATCACCACATCACCTCATCATCACAGTCTCAGCATCACCACATCACATCAACATCACAGTCTCAGCATCACCACATCACCTCAACATCACAGTCTCAGCATCACCACATCACATCAACATCACAGTTTCAGCATCACCATATCCCATCAACATCACAGTCTCAGCATTACCACATCACCTCAACATCACAGTCTCAGCATCACCACATCACATCAACACCACATTCTCAGCATCACCACATCACCTCCACATCAGTCAATCAATATTTTCTTTCTCGTATCAAAAGTTTTTTACAAAAAATTTGTCTGATGTATCAAACTGAGAATGATTAATATCTTAACTGACCTTGGCTCTTTTACACTACATTTGTCCAACAACTCTTGTTATTTGTCATGATCACCTAAATACACTTAATTACGTATAATGTGTTCTGATTTCATTCTGAGTCCAGACTGGGTACTCTGTGCTGTTCCAGGAACCGCTTGGGCATCACATTTGACCGAGCTATTACTAGGAAGGCTGAATTAGATATGCTACACCATACATACTAACTCTAAAGAAAACATTTATCATACTTACGTCATAATTTCTCAGAAACAATTGTTCTTGGAATAATGGCTTCTTTCTTGTGTTTTGAAGAATTAGAAAAGTCCAAACAACTACGGTCAACATTTCTTTGCACATTTGTGGAGGACAACCAAGAAATCCGGTTTTATAAAGGCTGGATAAATAATATATGTACCATGGGTCCTGCTTCATTGATAGAGGCGGCGATACAGCTGTGTAGCCCCTCGCTGAAATCATCTACACCGTTTCCATGTATATATGAAATGTAAATCAACAGTGTCAAGGTATATGCATCATATGCACCTTGTTTATGAGAAAATTACCAGAAAGTTCTTTATCAATAACATTATTTTATTCTCATCTCAGACAAAATTTATCCGATGTATCATACAGAGAATAAATTCTCAATTCCCTAATCTAAAACTCCATTCATTTCACAGTTTTTGAATAACAATTTTTTTAGATCTAGCTTTTCTCTGTAAACAATATGCTACAGTATCAGGCCTCTGAATGATGCATTCATTTGTGTTCATTAAATCATAAATATACAACCCATGCTTTATTGAGAATGTTTAAACGCAAAATTATTATCCATCTTGGTTTTTTTTTTTTTTTTTTATCATGAACACTGGTCTGGCCCCAGGATACATTACATAACACAAATATTTAATTGCATATTTAATTATCATTTATAATGGAATCTTTGAACAAAGACCCACACGCGTCATTGCTTTGACATCAGGGGTTTGGCATGATTTTCCGACTCATTATTTACATGAATTTGGACCGTGGGTCGTGAAATCGTGCAAGATCCCTGTGCCTTTCAAAAACTTTTTTTTTCAATTTCCGGATTCATATCACAGATCTATTTTGCGGACTATAGTCTATAATGCACTTCCGGTGGTCATTTCCGGAATTTCAAAGGACAAAGCTAAGGTACACACCTTTCAATTTTTCTTTGAAATAATTCATGCATTTCTTTGAAATAATTCAGGTAAAGTATGCATGTAATGGGATACTTTTACATCAACCCCTCAAATACAAATTATGATTACCACTTGTTTTCCTAATAAGGTCATTAAGGAAGCGCTACAACTGGCCGGCGATTGGAACTCAAGTCAAACTCATTCAGGTACTGGATCACCGACAAATCTGACTTTGTAGACATATTTTCGTTTACAAGTAAGGTTTTTCATGGCCATGTCCCAACCCCTGAATGAGGAAACGTGACAACTTTATTGCTTAATTACCTGTAAACCAATATGATGTGTCTGGGATCAGTGTATTTTTATCCACTTGAATGAGATCGGACACGGAATTTCGGTGCATCCTCTAAAATCCAATTCCAAACTTTATTAGTTGAAGTGGATTCATTTATTTTCAGTGCATACACTTATTTTACTTGACCCACGAAATACCTTACTCTGCGAACATGACCGATGAAATAACGACATGATTGTTGAATGTAATTGCCATTGTAACCTTTGTTGTCACAAAGAAAACAACAAAATTCCGGTCCGTTCCCTGCACTTTTATTTAGTGGTGAATACAGTGAATCGGACCCTGCGATATAGCAGACAGAATAGCTTATTACAGTTAAAAGGCACATAAGATAAAAGAGAGATACAATAACACTGTTTATCATAGTATGGTACTTACCAGGGGAAAAAATGAAGTGGACACTGTGGCGACCAAATGCAGAGTGACAGGTCAGGGACAGGTGAAAATGAATAACCACACATGCACAGCTCACTCACTTTCATTCCAAACTCTCACACCGTGAGCTTATTTCGTGTGTGCTAGTGGCATTGTTAAACAATTACATGTACCTGGTTACACCATGAAATATTTTTCTTAGGAAATTTGGAATCTCAAAGTGGTACCACAGTAAAATTAGTGACCATGTCACACTGCTTACATTATAAATATTAGTGTTCAACATGTGATATTTTGTTTTATATGAAATTATACAAAGTGATGATTGGACATGTTTATATACTAAGAGTTAGTAGGGATATATCTATTTTTCATATAAACATTTTATAATCCACAGACCAAGATGTAAGGATGCACCTCCATATCACCATTATCAACATTGTTGGTCTGTAACAGGAATATGAAGTTCACAGGAATTTGATAAAACAGTATGGTATGTGTTGTGTTTGAAATATTCCGAGAAAACGTATAGCTTTGTGTAGTATTCGTTCAAATTTTTAACTGGAAGAATGGGGGTAGGGGGGGGGGAATGAAAAATGTTGCTGAGCCTGTTCAAATGATACAAATTAATGCTTGTACAAATTGACTAGATTTTATACTATTAGAGTCAACATTGCTCAATATCATGGCCAGGTGTTTGAGAACATCCTAGCAAGGTAGGAATGTACTGATCAGGAAAGACAATTTCCCGTTTTTCATATCGGCCTAAAATTGTGTCTGCTGATGTGATAGCATATATCAATGCCCTGACTGAGATTTAAAATAAAGTTGTCTCCCATTATACTTACAGAAATAATTATTGTCTTAAACAGGGAAGCTTTCCTCATTTGTGTATAAAGTTTTATTGTGACGGAAGAATAGTAGGTTTTTCTCAGTAATATAAAAGTCCCATGGTCCTAGAAAGCCATGCTAAAGACATGACATTTAGATGTAAACTGTCAACTTGTTATTTAAGATGCAACTTTTCATAAATAGATTTGTACTTCAATGAATTTTGACCAAATATGGCTTGTATTAATTATCAGTCTGGACTCCTTGGGTAACAGGCTTGTCAGAGAAAAAGGAGATCAGACTGCTTCTGTTTAAAATAAGAGGTTTGAAATAATTTTCATAATGAAACAGAGAAAATTGAGATCTTTATCAATAAATAAAACAAATAGCCAAGTGGCTCCCCTGAGACAGAAAAAGAAGCAAGTGCAATTAGTGGAAAGAGAGTTAAATCTTTCATAGGTTAAATGAGTTGTAATTTTGAAGAATTTCTAGCATGAAATTGATTTTATAAAAATAGGGTGTGAGACCTTGATAGCTCAAGATGATGCCAAATATGGTATATTGCAACAGATTTTGTCCTAGTCATGGAAAAGTGGAAGGCAAAATATATTGCAGTAGATTTCTTGTCATGGTTTTAAACTTAAAACCTGTTTCTCAGTCATCATTGGTTTGATTTTTCCAAATTTTGACTACAATTATTTTTGTTTTTCTCGTCATTATATCAATATTCTTTAGTAGTTTAAGACTTTGATATGTCAGAATTTCTTATTAAACATATTTAGGTATGTCATTGTCTATCTGTCCATTCATCCATTGTACAATTTTATTAGGTCAGCTGAAACGAAGGGTCAAGATGACCTATAGTCATTGTGTTGTTGTTTCGTGTCCTCCGTCAACCGCTGTGTGTAATATTTTTTACATTCTAAACTTCCAACAATGCCATTGAGCTGATATTTGATGTGAATGTTGAGAAACTGAATTGTGATGTTTTTATTACTTTCAATACTACAATGTCAGAAATGTCTAAGTAATGTAATAATTGTTCAAACTGCTATCACTAGTGTCTATAATGACATTTAGGAGTCTTTAGTGTCATATAACTCTTAAGGGCCATCATATTTTTTCCCCAATGGAAATCTACTTCTACTTTCCAACTGTTCTCCAAACTTTGTAGATGTAATCACCATAACATGTAGTATATCCCTTAACAGCTGTTTGAAGCAGCTAGATTTGGAAGAGTTAACTCCCCTTTGTTAGTTTAACAATGTTAATGTAACAGAGGTCATTTTTCATTTCAATGCCTCCGCTAGGAATCGAACCCGGGACCCCTAGCTTACTAGTCTGACGCTCAACCAATCGAGCTAAAGAGAAGTTCCTTCTAGCGATATATTGCAGCTAGCATTTTGCCAGGGTTACATACTCCCCCCTCCAGGAAATAAGTCGTCCTCGAGTTTCCAGGGGTTACAGCGATGCTGGTGGGGCATGGCTAAGTACTATTCCCGGGTCTCTACATGGGCGCCAATGTAACAGAGGTCATTTTTCATTTCAATGCCTCGGCTAGGAATCGAATTGGGACCCCTGGCTTACTAATCTGACGCTCAACCAATCGAGCTAAAGAGAAGTTCCCTCTAGCCGAGCGATATATTGTGGCTAGCATTTTACCATGGTTACATTAATATTGTTTGGAAATCTCTTCTCTTAGTTTTCAACTGATTTCTTTTAAACTTAGTAAACAACAGTTAAATTAAAAAAATTTTGATGGAGTTATTGCCCTGTTTTTGAAGCATTGAAATTTTCTCAACAATATCCAGGTAGGTTTTTTAACCAATATTTTATGAAATTGTCTTTCCTTAATGGGATGGTGTTATATCTTCAAGCGATTCATCATACAAGATATCATCAGAAAGTGATATCTGAAGGGATTGATGTCAAAATACTGTTTTCTTGAGTTCTGACATTTTATCAAGCTCAGCGAATGAACAAGATTTTACTCATTTTCCTCTTCTTGTTATGTAGCCCTTCATTATTCTAAGTTTATGTGTGTAGCTTTATCATTAAATTCAATAAGGTATCTTATAATAATATGTCTATGGAATTGTATTATTGTGTTTTTTAGGTTTAATGTTGGGAAAGCTGTAAGGTGATGCTGTTGTTTCTCCTGAAGAATGATAAAATCAAATAGGAATTTCTTGTAAATGCAATTAAACAGCAATGGGGGACGAAGAACCATTGCTAATGAACAGGATTGGAGGGAGTGGAAAGGAAATGCAGGCAATGGTAGTGCCAAATAAGGAAGCGATAGAAGATAAAGGGAGGCAAAAAGAATTGCTTTGTCACTATTGTGACAAAGTGTTCTACAAGCAGAAAAACCTTAAAGTCCACTTGTGTATTCACACTGGTGAAAAGAAGTTACAATGCAATACATGTGGGAAATCTTTTATTCAAAGTTGTCATCTAAAGCGGCATCTACGAAGCCATTCCGGTGAAAAACCTTACTCCTGTGATATATGTGGAAACCAGTTTTCACAGAATGGACATCTTCGAGTCCATTTAAAGTCTCATTTTGGCAACAAGAACTACAAATGCGAATATTGCCCTATGGCCTTTGTCCAGAACAGTCATCTTAAAAGACATATGCGTTCTCATATGACCATTCGTCCTTACAAATGTGAGCTGTGTGACAAAACATACAAGTTTAGTGACCATCTGTATATTCATCTGCGCCGTCACACAGGGGAGACACCCTATCACTGCACATTGTGTGACAAGGCCTTCCACACCAGTGCTAATCTTAATGCACACGTCAAAATCCACAATAAATATGTTGATCGCAAGTTCAAATGCCAAATCTGCGTTAAGAAGTTCCACACAAATTATGCTTTGGTGAAACACATGGCCGTACATACACCAGAAACACCATTTTCTTGCCGTCTTTGCTCCAAGAGTTTCAAGTACAAGGGCAATTTAAAACATCATTTTGATGTGCATAGTAATGATGCAAATATGAAGTTGTTAAAATGTGTCATTTGCGTTAAACGTTGTACATCATTCCAAAATCTGAAAGATCATATGTTGTCTCATTATGAAGAAACATGCAAAACACACAAATGTGAAATATGCAACAAAACATTTCGGATAAAAAGTAGCCTTCAAATGCACCATTCCTTACACACTGGGCTTAAATTAGCCTACAGATGTTTAGAAGTATCCTGCCAGTTTGAGTCGAAAACAGTTGAGGAGATGAAGGACCACTGCACTACTTGGCATAATGTTCAAGTGGAAGATGGTTTACATAATGGCACTGATAATAGCACACCAAGTTATGATGAAACAGAAGAAAATGTTTCTGCTTCGGTAAAAAAATTGAAGTGTCCTATGGGATGTTCACAGAAATTTGACAATATTACTGATCTTGTTAGCCACCTAAAATGTCATATAAAAATTGAAAAGACTAAGAAGTCCGTCGATCATTCCTCATTTGGTAGGATTTCTGATTCAGATGTTAAGAAGACTGTCTTAGGAGTTGGTGAGAATGCCTTAGGTAGTAATACTGGAGCAATTCAGGACAACGATGGTCGTCAGGAGAAATCATCCTCACAGCTTGATCCAGTTAGTATGCTGATTGAAACTGCAGAACAGGTATTACCTGGCTATCGTGATCAAAGAAGTACAGGTGTTCAAATTCATGAGAATCTTGTAGAGAAAGCAACTGAACAATTGATACAGATAAATGCCAGTCCTGAAGAAAAACAAGAAATGTTGGTAATTGATCAATCCAGTTATCCCCATGTTACCAGTGCAAAGCTGAAAGGAATGTTTTGTAACGAGAAACAGTATTCAAATACTCCTTCAACAGGAAAAACAACTGTTTCCTACTCAGTTGTAGTTCCAGGGAGTTCAGGTCTCGAGGTGTCAACTTCTCATGATAAGATGCATCAAATCCCTGTTCTAGTGCAAACTTTGTCAAGTCTATCAGACGAAAACGATAATACAGAAAATTTGTTGCAGAATACCGAGCAAACTTTCCAAACGATTAGAGAATCTTTTGGTTCAAGGTCTACTGCTGGAGAGAAAAACGACCATATTGCTTGTAGTTCCTTGGAAATTAATGGAAACAATTACATAACACATGGAATAGAGCAGTCTGAATCTTCTTTTGTTACAGATAAAAATGGTCACCAGTCTTTGATAGTTGGGAAAAACATGATCAGAATGCTTGACAAATCTGACGGAACAGATTCAACTGAAAATGTTCAGTTACATGATGAAAACATTCAGGAGATTGTGGTTGATGAACAGACTATGCATGAGCTGGTCGTAGGGACAACAGAGATTCCAATTTCTGGTGGTGTTGACACAAGGTTTTACCATCTCGATCATAGTGCTAACTATCATCAACAACTGAGTGTTGAAGAAGTGGTTGTCCCAACAAAACCAGAGGAAGACGTAACTGATGAGGACACCATTGGTAGTGAGGGTGGAATAAATGACTTAAATCAAACTGTAAATAAGGACGTGGCCACTTTAAGTTCCTTCAGTGGATCCAATGACAGCAGTGATATATCAGTTACAGGTAGTGGCAAACCAAATTTTGTTCCAAACACATTTGTACCTGAAGTAGATGAAACCCAATTTCAATATGTGCCTTTTACTACAGAGAAGAGTGTCTTTATCGATAGCATTGGAGACCATAGGTATGTGTTATCCTATGGTGATAATTCTGTTGTAGCCGGGGAAACTAAAGTAACAGAACAACAACACTCACAATTGAACATGATTGGCACGAAAAACACAATGCATGCACAATGTCCTTTCTGTAATGAACATTTTCAGGACAATAAAGCATTGAAGGATCACTTGAGAGGTCACATGGTTATGTCAGAGAAGGTTGTAGTGAACGTTGTCATGTATCTGTGCCATGTATGTGATACAGAGTTCAATAGCAAGGAGAATTTGAAGACACACTTGAAGTCGCACATTTAGACTGTATTTTTAGTGTACCTTTATAAGGCAGTTGTTCTATTATTTCTTACAAGAAATGTATTGTAAGAGGAATGTTTATAATCTAGACAGATTAAAACTAGACTCGAAAAAATAAAAGAAAGTATAATATATATAGCTCTGTTGTGTATAGGAGGTGATAGGGGGATGAATGGGATAAAAATGGAAGTTGTATATCAGTTATAGCCATGATGTAGAGAAATGTGAGGTGATTGGGGTATAACAACATATTTGTCACTCTCATTAACCTGCCATGGGAGCAGGAAATATAATTGCATGTGTGATAAAGAGAAATAATTTTGAATATCTAGAACAGCAAATCTAAGCCACAAATTGGCTGCCTTCATTTGATTTTGTCATAAACTATTTTACTCTGGAACCGTTCAAATTCTAACGTTTCTGAGATAACGAAGGAAAGTTATTTGTTTACTTAGTTTTCTTTTTCACAAAGGCTCACTAAAAATGAAGTCTTGTTTCATAAATTCTCATGCTATGTATGAAATGAAAATTCATGAAAATTTGGACATAATATTACCTGTATCTGATGTAACTGTGTCTTAAGAGCATGTACCACTACTTGTACTTATTAAATTATATAAGTACTCTCTTAAGTTTATAACAACACTTAGCACAGTGCAAATGAGAAGGATTCGGAAACTAGTTGCATCAACTTATATAAATCTGTTTCCTAATGATTTGGTAATATCTATGTCATAGCTATTTATTGTTTTTTTTTTCATTATTCAATATACCTCATTGCTCAAAGTGAGAAGATGATGTTTTTTTTATTTCATTTACAAATGTTACTGGTGTTGTAGGTATAGGGAAATTCAAGTTAAGTTATATTATATTACATATTTAAACATTGTTTACTACTCACATGTGTGTTTTTTGCATTTGATTAGAAAACAGTTTTTGTCTGAATCTTTGTGTGATTATGGCTATTTTTTTGGTATTGAAATCTGGATAAAACCGATATAACACAACTATATATATCAAGTTATGCATACATTTAAATAAAACATTGTAGCACATACTCTAAATCAATGTATTTTTTTGTGATTTAACTATCTATGACTAATTTGCGGTATTTTTGTGGGTCTTACATATCATAGTGTAAAATTGGCATCTTTTGATGGTTGATACTTTTCCTGTCTGTTCAAAGATGTGAACATTGGATAAATAAATCATTCTGAAATATCTTGTGGGTATGTCTTCATTTGATACAATGCTTGGATGTATTCCAGTATGTGTTTATATACCCACTTCTACATATATCCTTTTGACACTGAGAAGATAAAGAATGGTGACCAGCAAAACATGTGTAGACAAATTAAAGTAAACAAAACAAGTTTTGGTTGGATCCCTGTTTTTTCAAAGCACATGTTGAAAAAATGTCAAAGATGAATAGAAAATGCCATTACAATCACAAGACTGCATTAGTTTTCATAGTTTGCTTCTGGTATAACGTGATGAAGTTTTCATACTACTACTTATGCCTTCATTGGTATTGACATCTACAGATGTAGTAGTGGGTTACTGAAATTTTGATGTCATTATTGACAATTCTCACATATCTCTGTCCCGATATACAGTCATGTATCATTACATTACATTGTTTGTAAAATCCTGTTATGCCATGAAATTATAAATAATAAGGTCACCTGAGATGAAGTCTCTAGTCACCTATTGCGATCGTCTTTTGTCCAGTGTGATGAGTCATCGAAAATAATTTACATTTTATAACTTCTTCCCAATAACAAAATGACCCAGAGTCATGATATTGGGCCGGTAACATGTTGAGATGAAGGGCTATCCGTTTTGTTCAAATAAATTACATTGACTTTCTTTCACAGGATCACAGAGGTCAAATATGCTTAACTTCAAAAATAGATCCTGTTATCAGTTCCGTTTAATTGAAAATTAAGCCTTCAAACTTAGAAGCAACAAAACCTTTTTAAGTATGCTTATATCAGTTCTGTTTGTCCCAAAGACCTTAAGACCTCAGGTGACCGTTAAAACCCATGGGTCTCTTCTTTATAACATATTGTCACTTTCAGAATTGGAATTAGATAATTTATCTTCGTATTATTCCTGTTAACTGCTTTGTGTAACATTCAGGTTCCATGCACTCAGGAAGCCATGCTGATGATTGGCATATCATATTTCACAATTGGAAACTTGATTTCAATGCTTCCAGTAAATAACTCCAATAATTTTTGTATATCTGACATTGCACTGCTTTACAGTATATTAAATTTCACAATACAAAATCTGAAGAGTTTCTGCTAATGGTACAAACATTTATTGTAACATTCAGCTTTGACATTGATTATGTAACGAATACATCATAGGCGTACAAGAAGTGAACATTGTAAACAGCTGTTCGGATCTAATATTAATTGAGATATGATCTGAAGAATTATGGCAATCTTAAGCTTTTTCATGCATAGAGTTCATCGCTCAGATATCGACTCCTACTAAATTATTGAATATATAGCACATGCTAAATGGTATTAAAACTACACCATATGAAATCTGGAGTATCAAGGATGGTACCAGGAGTGTAGAGAGTGATAGTGATGGTAACCCCTGGAGTATCGAGGGGTGTAGAGAGTGATAGTGATGGTAACCCCTGGAGTATTGAGGGATGTAGAGAGTGATAGTGATGGTAACCCCTGGAGTATCGAGGGGTGTAGAGAGTGATATTGATGGTAACCCCTGGAGTATTGAGGGATGTAGAGAGTGATAGTGATGGTAACCCCTGGAGTATCGAGGATGGTACCGGGGGTGTAGAGAACGACAGTGATGGTAACCCCTGGAGTATCGAGGGGTGTAGATAGTGATAGTGATGGAAACCCCTGGAGTATCGAGGATGGTTCCAGAGGTGTAGAGAGTGATAGTGATGGTAACCCCTGGAGTATCGAGGGATGTAGAGAGTGATAGTGATGGTAACCCCTGGAGTACCGAGGGGTGTAGAGAGTGATAGTGATGGTAACACCTGGAGTACCGAGGGGTGTAGAGAGTGATAGTGATGGTAACCACTGGAGTATCGAGGATGGTACCAGATGTGTAGAGAGTGACAGTGATGGTGACCTCTAGCGTATCGAGGGGTTTAGAGAGCGATAGTGATCATAACCCCTGGAGTATCAAGGATGGCACCAGGAGTGTAGAGAGTGATAGTGATGGTAACTCCTGGAGTATCGAGGGTGGTACTAGGAGTGTTGAGAGCGACAGTGATGGTAACCCTTGGAGTATCGAGAATGGTTCCAGGGGTGAACAAAGCGACAGTGATTGTAACCCCTGGAGTATTGAGGATGGTACTACGAGTGTTGAGAGCGACAGTGATTGTAACCCCTGGAGTGTCGAGGATGGTTCTAGGAGTGTATAGAAGGACAGTGATAGTAACCCCTGGAGTGTCGAGGATGGTTCCAGGGGTGTAGAGAGTGACAGTGATGGTAACCCCTGGAGTATCGAGGATCGTTCCAGGGGTGTAGAGAAGGACAGTGATTGTAACCCCTGGAGTATCGAAAATGGTTCCAGGGGTGTAATTGTTGAATGTCGAACGTAGGTTACCCTGAACTGCATTTTGACCTATTGAAAAAAAAAAATTGTCTTGGGTCTATCTTCTATCGTATCTGTCTCCGGAACTTCATACCCTACTGTTTTTGATGTTTCCTGTATCAAACGAAGTTCACTTTGTCCTACACTTAGACCTTTGACCTATATAAAAGAGAAAAAGTAGTCTTAGCTCTATCTTCTACGCTGTTAGGCATTGCTATCTCCCCCTTCATGAGTTGGCATAGAATGTAATTCGTCGATTTTATTTAGTCTGTTTATGAATATAATGTGCATTAGAGTTAGCTTCATTGACGTCTATTTTTATGAATTGGTTTAGAGCTCCTCTGCATTTGGACGGACCTAAAATTACCATTGGTGTCACAGCATCCTTAATCACCTTGTATTTTACGTGGCATGGGTAGAGAAAGTGATTACATCGTAGTTCGATTATGATGGTATATATTAAATTGAGTTGTCTCCCTTTACTCTATTTTGTTAATGCCTTTGAAGGCGCTATGAGATATAACGGTGTCCATATTGAAAAAGGCTCGGTTACAAGTCATTTTGTTTTCCGACTAGCACAAAATTAATCATAAATTCCCAGATGGGACCGAGAAGAGCGTGTGAAGTCAATGACTTTGATGGAGGTCCAAGTATTTCGCAAGCGATACACAAACTTGATTAGCGATAGTAAAATTTTCTCAAAATGTGTCCATGATTTTGTATTAGCATAACAGAATCTGTGTTCTTTTAGACGAGAAGGAAGCACACGTTGTTTGTTATTTTATTGTGTGGTATGGTCGTTTTTGTAGCTGCGTTTCATGATTTAGACTAGCATGGCGGTGATGAAGTAGATGACGCTTACCTATCTGAAACGCTTTATTTTGTTTTCCCTTTTCCTTGTACTTTCTCAATGGTTTCCTTACAAAGCATTCCTTCATTCATGGTTAACCATTGCTTTGTAAGGTTTCTGTTTTATCTTATTGTATGGTTTATAGCTTTTGTTATGTCAGTCCCTTGGTATGGATGAAAAAAAAAAACCAACAATAAACAAAAGCAAAAAAGAAAACTTGAACAAAATCGTAATCAAATTCAATAAAATTGGGCCAAGGTATGAACAAAAGAAATATTTGCACGGAAAGTCCTGAAAAAGTAGGAAGAGAATAAGACCAGGTGTTCCAAAAGAATAAGTGTGTTCTGCGTGATCAACGACACTCGCCATGTAAACATTGGTCAGTCCGTGTAAGTAATGTCAGGTTCTCAAACAAGACAAGGTATACAACAATGGAACCAAGGGACAAGCTAACGAGCATCAAGCACGTCCACCTTCATGTCACACAAGGAACCATCGGCTCTAACGCCCATCCTTTATATAATACTGTTGAATCAGCTTCTAGGTAAGGATTGCAAGCAGGTCAGCTGAATTTTGTATATTCATCTAGCTACTATCTAGGTATTTTCTGATACAATTCACGCCAAAAAATATAACTTTATCGATGTTTAGATGGAAAACACAGTACACTGATCATCCTGAGAATTCGCCAGGACACTCGGACGTTTTTGTACATTAATATTTGGGGATATTATGGATTTCGCGCAAATATTGTTAGCAATGTTATTCAATTTTTCAAAATATCAATATTCTTAATGCATGGGATATTAAGTCAAAATCAGATTGGATTTCTTGGTTCATTCTGTTGTATGAAAACCACCAACATTTTGGACGACTAGATATCTAATAAAAGGGGTACTGTGATTGAGGCTCGAGATATTGGTGAATTCAAAACTTGTATCTACGACTCTGATTACTCTAAAATTACTTTGAAATTTAACTTAAGCTTATAAAAGAACAATATTATAATCATTATTCGGAATTAAGGAAATTCCAACATTATCTAGTATAATTATTTTAGCTGTTAATGGGGAGTTCGATAGACGTCTCAATTCTTGTCCAATCCTGACATGAATATTCATAACCGTGTCATTTACATAATTTGCATTTTTAACGGAGCATCACATTTCATGTGTTCGTAGAAATGAATCCTATTCTTTATTGATTTATAAATGTCACTTCGTGATCTGTTCACTTTATAATTTAATTAAACTTGACTCCAAAGTGATTTATTCATGATATTATAATAAAAAAGTAATTCATCAAAAATCCATTCGATACTATTTAAATGTGTTATCAAGTTTAATCAACCAGACGTACTGATACTTCTTCTACACTCCTTGACCCCATTATTGTTAGTGATACTGTAGATGTAGTTTTCTCTGATGTGATCGAAATTGAGCGAGCAATTAGTGACCATGATGCTGCTTTCGTCGTCATTAATATTCCTGTAACAATTAAACACAACTTCAGAAGAAAAGTATGGCTGTACAATCAATCCAATGTGGACGAACTTAAAAATATGATCAATAGTATTCCGTGGCTAGACAATTTCACCCATATGTTAAACGTTTACGAAATGTGTAATTATTTCACCGAGAAATTCTTAAATGCTGTAAATACGTGTATACCCTCGAGAGAAGTATTAGTGCGTGATGGTGACAAGCCCTGGATGAATGGTCTGCTAAGACGCAATATCAGAAAAAGGGATAGACTTAAAAGAATAATGTTTAATAATAGTACTGAG